TTAGTTCTATCTTCAGAAAATGAACAGTTCTGAAGTAAGGAATGTTTCACAGTAGTGAGAATGTGAAATGAACAGTGAAATCAAGTCCAAGTTTTGCTGTATATTTATTTTCAAAATGAGGTTTTAGATGGTCCCATTGTCTTCTGTACTATTTCTGCCAGATAAAAATGGGATAATAAGTGACAAATTTTTCACAGCATTTCATTAGATGAAGAAATCAATAATTATTAATTTCTCAAAGCTGAGCATCTACCATCAAGAATGGAAGACCTGTGGAAAACAAGACTTGTTTCTCATGCTAAACACTCAACTTTACAGCTAGACAAATAGGTTACACCTAAGCCAGTAGCACAGTAGCAGCTTTTTTTTGCCCGCTGATTCTTGTGACTGTCATCAGATGAAGAAAACCATTAGCAGCTGCACAGGTCTGTGCAGTGGCTTAATTGGGTGTGGAGCAGGACTAAGAATGCTGAATTAGTTTATGGAAAGCTGGTAATAAATGAGGGAAGGGAGACTGACTCCCAGCTGCACAGTTTATTGCTGCGGCCCATGTTTTTAATCCACAAGACTAGGAGACTGCTGGCTTTAGTTACACATTCAGTAGATGAATTACACACTTGCTGGCAGCTGTCATTTGACATGTAATAATCGATCCTTCTCTGCTTGCTCACAAGTGGGTGTAATAGCAGAGAGCTACCTGAAGGTCTAAAGAAGGGAAGAAGTCTCTGTCGACTTAGACAAGCTTTATATGCATTCAATACTGAGAAGCTTTTGCTGTATAACATTTTAGTGTATTATTTTTCTGCTGATTTCCTGGATGCAAATTGCTTGTGGACCTTTTAGCTCAATCACAGGCTTCTGCAGCTTTTCCAGCTCCATGAGCCTGCAGGAGATCTCAGCCTCTGGGGCAAGCAGGAGCAATTTCAGGAAAGCCCCATGGCACTGCCCATGTCCTGGGGACATCAGAGCACAGTGTCAGATGTGGCCTCTTTGGGAGGCGCACAGTGGTGAGCAGGAGTGAAGCCTCCATGAGTGCAAAACCCACCAAGGTTACATCAGCTTGTTCCGCATCCTTGGGTGGGTCATTACAGGTTCATCTCAATTTGCACCCATGCCTGTATGCTTACCTACACATGGCAGGTGAATGCTTTTGTAAATGCACTTTTCACTCACTGTTGAATGCTTAGTTCCCTCCCAAGACTCTTGCAAACAGTATCAAATTCTTAGAAACCCATCATCTGATCTTTTTCTTTTGGAATATTTATTAGTGTACAACAGCTACAGACTTACTCAAAGTGTTAAGAGTAGCACCAGCAGTAGATAACTATTACTAGTGTGCAGTCTTACTGTTTTTAAAGCACCATAGTAATTAGCTATTTTCATTCTTGTTTGATTGCAATTATACTGAAATATAAACATCACTTAATGAACTTTGCAACAAGTAAGGGCTGTACCACTATTATGTAGGGCAGTTACATATCTATATGGTGATATTCTTCCTGCATTAGCAAAATTAACTTTGAAGTAATATTGGCTAGAGAAGGGGTTTGTTTCATTGCACCTCTCAAGCGAATGTGTGTCAGGGAATATAAGCGAGTGGAAAAAGTCTGTCTGGAAGTAGGCTGTGTGCTGTGGTGTATTGCATTTCGCTGACATGAGAGGAATGTGGCAGTGAGGTCTACAGTTGCCTGCTGTAGGCACTAGCATTCAGGCTGAAAAGCAGCTTGGGATGTGCAAAAGGCTTTATGCCTGTGGCATGGAGTGCTATAAAACACAGTGAAAGTATTATAGTGTATGTTGTTAGACAGGATTGCCAGTCTCAAACATCTAAAATCACAAGTCAGATATTCCAACATAAAATCTGTCTAGAAATTAGGGATGTGTTGTTTTTTACACTCTTATTTCCTCTTTGCTTCTTAAGATTCACTTATTTTTAAGTGAAAGCTGAGATCTTCACTGAAAGTTGAGATCCTCACCTGACTTCGGGGCTTTAAGAAAAACACTAAATTTCAAAAAACTTGCAAAAAGGTCATAAATGTTCATAACAGTGAGTCAGGCATCTTCTGCAGAAGCTGTGTGATTGTATAAGGTTTGTCATTGTAAATAGGATCTTAAAAAACAAGGATGCAAGATGCAGGCTAAGCTCCTGGCACTGTCACTTTAGTTGAGGTTTGCTTACCTTTAACAAATGTCACTAACTGTGCTGGCTCACGCTGTTGAGCAGCTGGCCTAGAAAAACCCCCAGCAAACGCCACCACAGCCTGGAAAGCCTGTGTTGCTGGGGGGGGCCGCGGTGCGGCAGTTGATAGACCTTGCAGCCAGAGTTACCTGCAGCTGATCTGTATCTGGTGTAACTTCCGCAGCCTCCCAGAGTTCCATCCTGTCTGTGCACGGTGGGGTCAGTAGTAGGACTCCTGTTTACAAGAACAAGCATGTGCCGCTAAGGGATGCATTAATTTCCTTGTGTTGTCTGCGTCTTCCAAAGAAATGTCAGTGTTGACCCCTTTCCTGAAAGGGGAGATGTTAAAGGGATGGTGATGTCCAAGTTTTTCTCCACACTCTGCTGAAGCAGCAGGCTGTAGCTTTAGGATTTTGAGCCGCTGCACCGTTAGCAACCAAGGAAGGTGGAGCATTCGTGGTTCTAGGCACTTTTGCAGCACTGGAAAAGCAATGCCAGGGCACAGGCATGGGCGTTTTTAGGATCCTTTGTTCATTGTTCCTACTGACCTGCACTTCAGGCCCAAAGAAGATGCACAACAAAGCCCACAGTTTGGAAAGACTAAGATCCAAGAATCTGAATAATTGTATAGGATTTTTAATGTAAAACTCAAGTTTGCTGGTCTGGAAGGCAGGTGCTCCTTTACATAAGTTAGACAGCTGGGAGGTGAGCTGTAAATCTGCCGCTGTTCTGTCTGCCTGTCTTGAGCTCAGCTGAGATCTTTTTCTGCTGTGCAACCCTAGAAGAAACAACAATTCTTGAAATAACATTTTGGCACCATAAACACTTCTCATCTGATGCTCTGACATTTGGTATTGGCAGTTGAGCCTGCCTCTTCAGCGTGCGTGTGGCTGTCACCAGTCAGCCAGTCCTTCCTTCCTGCACAGCTAGTTCAGATGAAAATCGCCTTTCTCTCAAGAGTGCTCCAAGCAGCTGTTTAACATAGCTAAGCCTCAGGAACTCTGTCATGCAAATATAAATTTGCTTTTAGGTCAACATTGAAAGCATCATTTTCATTGTTTTTAAGAATCCTGTTAGTTGTAGAGAAATGGTAAATAATCCGGTGGTCTGGAACCACATTGTTCTGGCTCAGGGAGCAGTTACCACTGCAGATGATGCTTCAGGTCTTGGAGGTGTATGTACTTTTGGACTCTCGCATCTAGCAGTTCACCTAATGGTTCAATGTAACTGAAGCCCACTGAAGTCTGCAGGAGATACCATTCAGTTCATAAACACTTCCTCCACCTCCAGTGGAAACATTTATAGTCAGATGCAATGCCTTGAAATGTTTTACTACTGTCATATTAATAGGGGAAAAAATGCAGATATAAAGAGGCTGTGTGCATTAATTATTTATCTTGCAATCAAGAAAGTAAAAAATAATCCAAGGTGAAAATTGGGAAGGGTTGTAAAGGAAAGCACTGGCTCTTTCAGTTTGAATAATGCAGACCCCACCCAAGCTTTCTCGGCAGAACATGTGGTCTGATCCCAGCAAAAGTGAATACATGTTTTTTCTCTAAAACAGATTTTTAAATCATGCAGCTCTTGAGAGGAGACTAGTTGTGCTTGCTTAGCTTCAAGTGAATAATTAAACTGTGAGGAGTTATTATTTTCCTGGCTCCTCTGTAATGTTTCTTACTAATTCTCAGATATTCAACTTTTAGACTTTTTAGCATTAATCAAGCTCTGCTTCTGTTGTCTGAAAAATAAAATATGTAAAGGAAAAACTGCCACAGATTTAAATACATTGTGTTGTTACAGTATAAATATCGTCATTGTAATTAAACCACTGGAAAATACAAACCATCAACTTTTTCTCTCAGGGACTCAGCCACCTATGGGATTTTTGTGCCTTTGGAAATCTCCCCAGAGATTCAGTGTGCTTTGCTTCTCCTGATTGTTCTTGAAATAGAATTAGCTTTTAGCCCTTTAAAATCTGTTGGCTTTATCTGCTACTAAATACAGACATAGTAAGTGCTGTGGGATCAAAACAAAAACAAGTTACTCCTGCTGCGCTTGTAGTTTTGATGAGATTTGCATTTTGGCAGAAGTCAATAATCTGACTCTTACTATGTTTGGGATCAAGGTAGATTAAGGTAGATTTCTTCAGCCCGGATCGAGAACCTGCAAGGTATCTTCAAATCAGAGGAAAAGGTGAATAGGAAAGAGTCTGGAAAAGGACAAGAGAAGGCACCTGCGAAGGCAGGTAGCCTGGTCTTAAGTCCTGGGGCAGAACTCAGGACACCTGTTTTGCTCCTTCCAGACATTAGCCTAGCACCCTGTTAAAAGTCTCCACTAACCAAGATTCTGACACCTATTGAGGGTTTGGGCAGATGGTTTTCCTGGTAGAGATGTTCTCATGATGGCCGGCTCGCTCCTCCAGGTGCCTGTGACTTTGTCCTTAACTTGCTGCCTGTGTGGGGAGAGTAGGATGATGCCAGGGTGAGGAAGTGAAAGGGGACGGGGAGGGAAGTACTCAGGCGGTGGGAGGAAGGTCAGGGCCGTGAAGGGCCTGGATGGAGAGCTCTGGGAGAACTGAGAGAAGAAAGTGCTGCCCATCCAGGCTCCTTGTCATTGTGTTTCTTGCTACTCGTGGCTAGAACTTTCTGATATTTTTTTAAATGCTTTAGTCAGATATTGAAGAAGAGCAAAGTTTGGAATCTAAGCACAGCCTCAGTGGTGGAGAAACCGCTGGGTGCCATCTGCAGAACTAAAAAATAACCATATGTTGACAGAAAGACATGACCATAATGCCTTTTTCCTGTCTTTTCTACCCTCACAGATGAACAGGAGCCGGCGGTCAGCAGTGATTCAGATATTTCATTGATAATGGCAATGGAGGTTGGACTGTCCGATGTGGAGCTTTCCACTGATCAAGACTGCGAAGAGGTGAAGTCTTGAGAAGTAAACAGAGATCCAACACTAAACTACAGGGGAGGGTCACAGGGAGGGACCGAGTCAGCTTTCCTAGGATTTGGACCAGTCATGCACATGCCTCCAGAGCACTGTCACTCCTGCACACTCCATTCTGAGATGGTCACAAAAAGCAATAGCAACAGTTGTGTCTGCCTGGATGCGGTTTCATCATCTACATACGTTCATTTTGTTGACGTGGGAGATGAACGCTTCCAGTTTATCCACCTGCTTGAGAGCAGTCATGTAACTCTTCAGTGGCTCATCAATACACAACTGAAATGACAGCTTGAGTGTTTTCTACACTTGTTCGACTGGGTTTTTGTTGATTTTTTTTGAAAAGATGTATGTTTGTTAGGTATGTTTGTTTGTTTATGGTTTGTTATGGATGGACACTCTGTTGACTGACCCCAGCTTTTTCAAGAGTTCAATCCAGAAATCTGAATTCCCATTCACTGGTCCATTCATGATCTGACTCCAGGATTTATCATTGCCTTGTTTCTGCGTGAAGTACGTATGGCTTCAGAAGGATGGTGCACCAGCACCCAGCGTTAATGTGAAGCCTGCTTTTGTTGAGTGGGAGCCCTAGAAATAGTATATTCTGGAGGCCTTTATTTGTAAGAGAGCTCTGAATTAACAGAGTTCGCTGAGATTTGGCTTAAAACTGAATTATGCTGGCTTTTACCTAGAGCTCTGTTCTAGACAAGAATCGTACAGTGTGAAGGAGAGAAAGAAAAGCTTAAAGCTTCACTCCGTCCTTGTAGTCCTTTGCTGTATTTTACACCATTAGCAGCTGTCAGTACATTAATGGCCTTCCTTCAAGTCACAATTCAGTAGCTGGAAAAGAAGATCTAGTGTAACATCGTGTCTTTTCTTAATTTTACAGACCAAATCTGACCAGTAGGCTGAAGGAGTGTCTGAGAGTTTTCCTGAGGCTGCTTGTTAACAGCTGTACATTACGAGGATGACAAGAATATTCTTAGAAAGGGTCTGGAGATGCTGATATCAGTGTCAGAAGCTGCTAATGAAGCAGCAGGGAGCTGGTTGAAATGTTTACTTCCTGGTTTGTCTGGGGGGTGTTTCTTAGTGTGTTTCACTTGTTATATTTGGATGACAGTTTTTGCCTGCTTGTTATTGAACACAAAAGTTCAGGTGGTTCTTTGCCCTCCAGAGTCCCTCTCAGCATGTCACAAGCATAACAGAATACTTGCAATTTGTATATAGATATATATATACTAAAATACTTTGGGTAGAGGGGATGGAATTTGAAAATAAACAGAGCTAATATAAATCAAATCACCTAAATAATAATGACCTGTGATGACTATTTAGCTCACCCTGAGCTCTGCTTTTTAGGGAAACGTTTATTGTTACTTGTTCAGTGTACAATTTTGGTTTTCAGTCAAAATACTCAACTGTGAAGAAGCATTTTTAGCTTACTGTTATACAAGATTAAATGGTTTCTGTTGACAGTCAGATGATTTGAATCACATTACTGCCTCCTGAGTAAGTCCATAGAATCAACTACACATCAAAATTTCATGGAGAGGTCAAACATTTTGACTTGACAGTGTCATGACAGCATCTCTTAAAATGCAACTATTAGGGTTCTTGCTGCATTTAATCTCCTTGTGGCTTTCCTTGTTAGATGTGGAAACCAACTTCCAGCCAAAACTTGGTTTGTCAGATCTTATTCAGGAACAAATGTGTTTAGAACTATCCCTAAAAATTTGGCCGACTTGCTGCTTTAGTACAGGAAGAAGGAAAAATTACACTCCGTGCTTTTTGGTCCAGTTAGAAGTCAGTTCATTTTACAGCTTAATTTTTTTGATGTTCTTAGTCCCTAAGTTGCAGGGTAACTTTGAGGCAAAGGAGCACAGCCTAATGATCCTTCAAAACCATGATCCGGAAATGTGCCGTTACATTTTTATAAGCCATTTGAAAGGACAGCTCTTTAATTAAAAAGAGATACAGGCAGCTGGAAATCTTCTTGCTTTAAAAAGAAAGTTAGAGATCATTCCAGAGGGTGCAGCTAGGTCAGTCTTCCCAATGTTTGTGGTTCTGTAATCGTATTTTCCATATTCTTTAATGTCTTCTCTGTTCCTTGCAGCTATAGGAAAGGCCCACAGCATCAGGGGTACCGATGCTGAAATTCATCCCTACACAAGAGAGTTTGCACGAGGTACCACATCAGCTCCACTTAAGCTCTGGAAATAATGCTGAAATGGGATTGAGGCGGTACTTACACCAAATACTGGCCCTTCATACAGGAATGAAATTCATCTCAAACAATTGACTGCAGGGGAGAGAGTGAAGCTGGTTATACACAGTCAGGCCTCCCTATGGGAAGTACACACGCTGGTACAATTTATTCTCTAGCGCTGGAGCCTGGGTGCTACATGCCACAGGAACATCACAAGCACGATGTCCAAGTTGTCAGTGATCCTTTAGCATCCGCTCACTGCAGCCCAGCACACAGATAAAAAACTCCTGGCCAAGCTGTTTGGGTTTCAGAGAAGCTGTTGCAAAGTCTTCGTTTTATTTCACATACTTAAGTTAATCTCAGTGGGCAGAATGACCAATTATCTGTTGCCATAGCGGAGTCACCCACAGCACAGCAGAGCAAGCGAGGTCTGGGGGGAACCAAGGCAGGAACTGAAACTCCCAGCTGATACTGAACTGGGTCCTCTGCCCAGCAAAAGCGTTAAAGGGAGCTGTGCTCAAAGGGGCATCACATAGGCGGTAACTGAGACCCTGCCCATATTCCTAGGAGGTAGTGAGGGATTTTGGAGAGGGGTTGTACTGTGCATGCTCTTTTCCTGAGTATCCCATACGAGATGTGGTCCCTCGGGGTCCACGTGTGGCCACTGACAGAGGCAGGGTGCTAGCCTGGGTGAGACATTCTTACATATCACCATACTGCGGTCTTTCAAAAGTGGCTTCCTAGCAAATCTGGGTCAGGAGTCCTCCTGCTTTTCTTTTCCCAGTTCTACTGGCAGTTTCGCTCGGGAAAGATGTTTTTCCATCCCTGTCCTCAGGTGTGCTACAGTTCTGAGCATGGTTAAGAGATAATGAGTGAAAGCCAGGTTACACATCACTGAAGCCAGAACTTAGGAAAGCACTTAAGTAAATGTTTTATTCTGTCCTTCTTCAGAAGAGCACTTACGACTAATTTTGGACTTCTACCAAAACCACATTACTTTCAACAGGTCTTTTATGAGCCGCGTTAAGCCCCTGTGTCAAATGGAAGTGTTTTCCCAAAGCAGGATCTGACAACATTCTTTGTATACGTAACCTGTGAAATGCCTTGGGAATTTGAGGTGCTTCATAAATATTAAGACCCCCAGGTGTATGTTTGTAACATGTATGAAAGCCTTAATTCTGCAGATCTGCATGCCTGTGCACATTTTTGCTTACGTGAGTCTCTCCACTGAGATTCCTTACAGGGTAAAATTAAACCTCCTGATTTTCAGCTTTGGGTAAGATTAGCCCCATTGTGCGAGTCCTCGGTACTCCTGCCCCTAAGCTTGAGCTCCGGCATTAAACATGTGGGCTGCAGACGCTGGGGACGCAGCACTGCCTGCTCAGAAGAAAAGCAGCCTTTAACATGCAGCCAGGAAAAAACAAACTCCTCTGGTGCCCTCTGACGAACAGGCGCTCGCGCACGTAGTTCTGCAGACTGGCACCGGGCACGGGTGATCTGGTGTCTCTCCGAGGTCTTGCTGTCCTGTCCGCTGAGGCTCATCATCACTCAGGCTGGGTTGCAGGTTGAAGTCTGGACAGGCAGAGACTGCACTGTGGAGTTTCCTTTGATTTTCATGGATTTCGCTAAACTGCCTTCCCAAAGGTCTGTTCAATAGGTGGGACACACAAGAAGTTATATGGGCAGGATTTTGCCACTCACAAAGGACCTAAAGTCCGTGTGCAGATGTGCAAGGCACCAGCTCTGCATCTCGTCCCCAGGGCTCACCCATTCCAACGGGGATACAGATCTGGCATTTACTGAGAGTTTGGGTTATTTTATTTTCTGACTGCGTTAGAGCCTCAAAACCAGGATCAGGACGATTGTAACACCGCGGTTCATTCTTTAAGTATTCTATAGAATTGAATTGCCATGTATGCATATAAAAGTACATTGTTACGACTGTGGAAACTCTGTGGTAGTGAAAACAGCAGCAGCTGCCAATTTGAGACTTTTTCTATGTGGGAGATTGTGGCACTAAAGAATCAGGCTTTATAGAGGCAACTTGAAAAAGAAAATTATTGCAGTGACGTATGATGAGAGGTCCCTAGGATCGCAGTATTTTAATGACCCCTGGATCAGTTGCAGAGGAAGTCATTGCAAGAAGGGCAGTACTTCGTCTCCTGTTGAGTGACTCATTTGGGACACATTCTTATTTTGTTGACAAAATGAACCCAAACACCAGAGACGGATGCAGCTCTGAACTTAATCTTTCTCAAGGCGTATGCATTTTGAGATCCAAAGTTTTTGTTGTCAAACTTGTTAACCCACCCTCTTTTCCCCCTTGCTAAATAAAAAGAAATGCTTGTCCAATTTGGAAAACGTCTAGCTCGGGAGACCTGCGCATATGGACGGGTTGCCCTGGCAGGTGTCTGCAAGACCACTTAACGCTTCTATGTACTTTCAGTCATCAGTACAACACGGTTATGGATTTTCCATAAAGTGTGTTTAATTTGCTGTTCTCGTTAAACCTGGAGTGTGGTCATATAGATTTTCCAGAGTTTTGCCTTACAAACTTTTTCCTTTGAATATATGCCACAGCCCTTAGAGCAGATTGTGTGATTAAAAGGCAAAGATCAGGGCACAAGTCTTTACATACAAATCTCGGGACTGGAACTTGTTGTGACAATTGGTCTCTACTGAAATGACGATAGAACAGCAGAAGATGCCCTCCAGCCCAGGCAGGGGGGAATCTCCCAGGCTTTATTTGCAAGAGACTCGTTCCTTCGTGGTCTCTGCCTGTAGAAAAGCTCATGACTGAACATATAGTTTCAAATAAGCCAGGAAGAGGAATTTATGTGCAAACCAAGAAAACCAATAGTCATTTATTGATCTTTTTTTGGGTATTTGTTAGCGATAATGGACTCTTTTTTTTAACCATTTGGTTCTTGTAGATCCCTGTTGTAGGGCCAAAGTTACCAGTAAGTCTGCTAGGAGTAGGAGCCTGGACAAGCTGACTCTCTAACCAGAAGGGGGAGGCTTGGTTTGCTGTTGGGATGTGTCCATTTTGCAGGGCTGAAGTGGCAGAGAAATCCAGCCTGCTCC